TGCGTCGCCCAAGAAGGAAAAAAAAAATCCCTACAAAATACTGTAATTATTTCACTGCTTTTTAATTTAATTTGCCCTTGAAAGGACAAAAGCTCTTCCTGGCATCGTGCAGGTCATTACTCATGTGCTAAGTGGTTTGGTGGTTTGGAGATGCTTTATTTGTAGCACAGCCCTTAAAGGGGAGCCCATAAAATTCCCAGGTACACTTGGTGATAAAAATCCCCTCTTGGAGGAGCACGAGGCCGACCCTGCGGGCTGGTCCTGCCTATAAATGCTGAGGTAACCTGAGCGCACACTCTGCTCGCTGCCGTGAGAGGAAATGCAGCAAAATCGGATACTTTTCCCACAGATATCTCTCAAGTCCTTAGCAAGTCTTCTACAGAATTCTCTTTTCCTAGTCCAATAGCTTCAGAGTCTGGAAGCTTTTTTCTTTCCAAGGTGTTCACTTGTTTTCGTTTCCTTTGCCCCCAGCCCCCATTTGGTTTCCTGGTCTTAACATAGATGTAGAAAATCAGACCTGGTCTTGTGGGTATTGATGAGGTTCTTGGGTTTGGGGGGTTGTTTTTCTTTTTCTTTTCCAAGCCAGAATATTCTGGCCTTATCAAAGTTTGTGTAAACTTTGTCGTGATGTATCTTGCCATCATCCATGAAGGACAGTTGTCCTAATTGTGTGTTCTGGCCAACACTCTTCTTACCCTATTACATTTACTAAATACAGAGGATGATTTCCTAAATATACAAGTAATAATAGTAAGTAATTACATCCGTCGGGCCAGAGTAACCTCTGTAGGTTGCAATGGAGGCTCTGGTCCTATAGCTAACTGCTTTATGTTTCTCTAATTGCATAAAGCAGCCACACTCTCCACAGATTCGGTCACTGGTGTATTTCTACCTGCCAGGGAGTCTCCCCAGGAGATGTGCAGCCGCTTTCCCATCATCTTCTTTCGAAGATTTCTGGTGCAGGGGCTAATTATTGGGAAAATGGAGCTGTGGCTGGAGCAACATCGTACCATGGTAATTGTAGCAATTCCTAATCTGCCATTGCTCTAAATTAGGCAGGAGCCAGTCCCCACGGCACAACACAGCTGCAGCAACCAATCTGGGCCATAATGCGCATGCTAAAATAAGATAATCAAATCTTACGCTCGGGGACTGCTGGTTTCTGGGAGGTACATCTCCTCTCCCGCGTCTGTGAACTGCGTTACAAAAAATAATGCATCTAGCGAGCTGTGAGTTGCTTTGGAGCGTTAAGCACTCACTGGTTGTGGGAGCAGGACTAGACTCGATGCTGAACGATAACTGAATGCAATAATGAGATTTTTTTTTTTTCTTTTTATCGAAAGGGATAGCACGTACTGATCTCCGACCCAACTCAAGTGATAAGGTTAATTATTGGCCGCTGTTGAGAAACGCCACATGCCGAGGGATCAATCTGTCTTTCTGGGTACTGGGGTTTCGAGCATCAACATTATTTCCTGTCCTACCTGGGAGTTTCTTGGCAGCTTGTTATTCTCCTCCCAGTCAGGACTTACGATGCTTATTTCAGAAACTCTGATGAAATCCCAGGCTGGGGTGGTGTGGCTAGAGGCCATAGCTAGTTCGTTCTCTTTCCTCCTGTATCCGCACTGTGTTTACTTGCTTTCTTAGTCCTGACCCGAAGACGGTGGCATCTGTACATGCGCAAGAATAACAGAGTGTTTGCGTAACGCAGGAGCAGGCAAACAGAATCTCAACAACTGGGTCAAAAAGGGTTTGGTTCAGCGGATGGGATGGACGTCTTGTAGAGTCCTGTACTACTGCTCCATTCCTCAAAGCGTCTGCCATCCCTCTCCCTCTCTTCCTCCTCCTCCTCCTCCCCTCTTCTCTCATCTCACCCATGTTTGCTGGGGATGCAGAAACCATGGGTGTGTAAACAACCAGAAACGGTCCCGGTTGTAACCAACAGTTGCAAAACTTTTGTGAGTGTACAGTTGAAGCTCACAAATATCCCAAGCCCTTCAAGTTCAAGGCTGTATTTAGCACAAATCCAACAGTGCCAACAGTTCTCTCAGCAGTCAGACCGTAAACAAACACATTTTTCATTCGCTGCATCTTTAAGAGCAGCAAACACACTCTGGAGATATTCAGTGACTTGGGGTGGCCCGTGCATCCCCAGCCCCGCGTCCCTTGCGAACAGGAAGAAACATTTTTCAGGAGGTGTCATTGAATCTGGCTCTTCCTTTCTCCTTTGTCCACTAGCGTCCAGATTTAATTAATTTTCCAGGCATGTCGCAAAGTCCATCTGTTTTCATGGGCTTTTGGGGAAGTGGCATAGCCAAATGAGCGTTGCCAGCTTTCGCAATTGTGTTATGAATATTGTACTGCTGCATCTAAAAATCGCAGCGCTCGGAGTCGTGTGAATGTAGGATGGTATTCACCGTCGTTCAAGAAACATCCGTCAATCCCCTTAAAGCTTTGACGCAAAGCATGATTCTAGGGCGTTCTTAAACGCCCAAGAGGCAAAAAAACGTTGTGACAAAAATCGTAAAAGGGTTTTTATTAAGCCTCGTATTTTCGTTGGGACCTGACTTGTGATTTTTGAAGTTTTAAGGCTGGCTATGCTGCTAGAAATTGGCAATCCTAAAGTCTTAGGATGTTTGAGTTTACTTTCTACAGAGTAGTTTTGATAATTAATGTTATTACACAGTTGTAATAGTTATTTTTAATTACACAAAGGCTTGGAAGTGCACCATTGCGCTGGACAAATGTGAATGAGTGTGTGACCCTGGATGGAGTCAAAGATGGTAGAAGTGTAACTGCAAACTGCCGTAACATCAACATCTCCGCTTTCCGCTTCCCAACGCTGTTGTTTCACTCGGCCGCGTATCTTCATCGTATCTGAGCGTGTTTCCTGTGTGTTCAACAGCAGAAGCACAGCTTGGCACACTGCAACGCTTTGTCACTCCGTAAAACTGGGTCTGGATTTTGAGGCGCTGCCTTTCGTTTCGTTAAGAATGTGAAATTTGCTGACTGCTTCCCAACCGCTTAAGAAAGATTGTTCCTGGCCGGAGGAGCTCCCGGTATTAAGAACATAATCTCTTTTGCAAAAACGCTTCCCTGGTCTCTTTGCTTCTGTGCAGATAGGAAACGCGGTTGGAGGTGGCTGCTGCTCGCTCAAACCTCAGGAAGCAGCTGTGTTTTGACCCCGCACGAGACAAAGTATGTTCACACCTGCCTGTGAGCAGGTGGCTTTCCAACCTGCATTAAAGGGAAACGTTTTAAAGAAGGCGTGTGTAATGAAAAGGAGAAAATTCACAGTACTGGAATATGTTGGTTGGTTTTTATTTATTTTTTTTATTTCTGTTATCATTATTAGGATATTAAAAAAATCAAGGTTATAATCATTAGGCTATTCACAAAATCAAGGTTATAATTTTTAGCATATTCCAAAAATCGAGGTTATAATCATTAGGATATTCACAAAATCAAGGTTATAATTATTAGGATATTCCAAAAATCGAGGTTATAATCATTAGGATATTCCAAAAATCGAGGTTATAATCATTAGGATAGTCACAAAATCAATGCCACCAAGAGAGGCTGCCTGGCACTCAGCGACAGCCCTTAGCTGGACCTAGAAAATACAAAAAACAGAACAAAAAATAGAAAGGGAAGAGGAAAACTCTCCCAGCTCTCCAAGCATGATTGTTTGGTGGTGTGTGCGTTCCTTCACTTTGGGAAGAGCGGATAAATGGTTCAGTGCAGACCAACAACTCTACCACAGGCGTTTGAAATGGACACTGGCACCCCAGCGCCCCCAAAAGTATTTCAGCGTATCCGAAGCCCCAGAAAACCCCGTGGAAATGCTGGAGCTTGGTTCATTTATTGACTGACTGCTGAGTTGAATCAAAACAAGAAAACGATAGGTTAAAACCGGCGAGTGGACAGTTGCAACACAAGTGCTGCCACACGCGTTCCGGTGCGCCCGTCGGTGCCTCATGCGAATAGGCTTTCCGTTTCGGTTCACGTAGTTGGGCATTTTCATCCGAAGATTCCAGGCCTGAAGTCATGCTGCAACCATTTCCTTTGGCCCCCGATGTGTTTTACGCAACGGATGGACTGCTTGTATTCCCGGTTTTGTGTGAGAGGACAATGGAAAACGGACCACCTTGGGACGTTAGCGCTGCGGTATCATCACTGCCTTCTGCAGTCTCTCTGATGAGTACACGAGCTCTAAATAACATCACAGACCACCCTTTTTTTTTTTTTTTTTTTTTTTTTTTTTTTTTTTTTACCAGGAACGTACGTACCGGACATGACATTCAGTTCTGCACATACTGTTTAAAAATGATGAACGAGGCGATGTCAGAAGTCGCAAGGTTTCCCTTTATTATTTTATAACTTTCTAATATTTTTATCCTCCTTTTATTCCGCAGAGGCAAATGTTATTCTAGAGCGTTCTGTTTGTAAGAACAAGACGCACAGTTTGATTTATCGGATTGTTTGCAGATATTTGCCGTCAAACTTTGTGCATGCCCTGCAGGTAGACGGGGTTGATTTAATCCTGGGACAGAATAGGATTAGAACCCCTCGGAGTGAGGGGTTTGGGGGCAGCTGGGCCTGACCTCTGCTGCACTTCACTCTCTGGATTTACCTTACGCATCTGCAATACTTCAGTTTTTACCGTGTAGTCACACTGTTGTAAAACATTCAAATACTTCATTAAAAAGAAAATTTGAAAAAGGAGAAAAAAAAAAAACCCACAAGCGATACAAAAATATCTCAATACTTAAAATCAGTACTGTTGAATATAGTCACTTAGACCTTAGAATCTGTACGGTTAAGTTATTTTATTATATTTTAAGCTAAAAGCCTTCCTTGTAGCTGCAGACAGGACGTACCTCATGAAAACCAGCTGGAAATATGATCCTATCATAAGAGGGCAGAGCAAGACAACTTTTCGTTCACCTTCCAATAAACGTCATGCAGGGAGGGCAAAGAGGGAAGTCAGGCTGGGGGCAACGGAACCTGCCTCTCCTGGGGCGGGCTGGTGGAACCAGAGAGCGGCTGCATCTCACGCCGAACGTCCGGCATGGCAAAGCTTGGAATGTGCTAGTCCTGGTTTGGCTGAGCTGGGCTGCCAGGCCTGGCCCAGAGCGGCTGCAGGCCAACAAGGCGATGGCACGGCGCCCCGGGATGGAAGTGAGCCCTTCGCCTTCAGGTCTCCTTTATCTCACAGAACGTTCCTCAGGTGTCCGGTTCCTGCGTGCGTTACCACACTGGCGGTCTGTGGTGCTGCTTGTAGAAGGGCTCTTCCTACCTTTCTTGGACCCATCTCCCAGCTTTTGTTCATATCTGATCCAGGAGGCACCAATCAGCTTCTTTACGGACCGAGGAAAATAGTTTAGCGGTTTAGGCATGAACCTCTGTACGAGCAGACGCAGTTCCCATGAATTCTCTTCCTCTGTAACAGACTCGAATGTGGGACACACCAGATTATCCCCCCAGGTGAGACGTCTTTCATCCAGGGCTCCCTCTAATACCAACGGAGGGAGACTGACCCTTCTCTCTTGACCGAACCATTATCAGTCCCTACGACAAATTCTGATTTACTTTGAGGCTGCGGTGCTCGGGAGCTGTGGCTGCCACCCAGATCCTCGGCTGGGCAGCATCGCACGGACCCAGAATGAAGAGTCTTGGTAAGAGCATAACAAGGGAGGCAACGTGTAGAGGCAGATGTATCATCATCAGGGAACTGAAGAGAAATGCTGAGATCAGCGCATTAACCAGAAATATCAGTACATGATCAGCTCACCCAGATTTCTTTGGAGGCCTCACAGCAGAAGAAGGTAAATAACTGCAAAACAATCTGATTTTGTTTGAAAGCTGATACCGACTGGACACAAAGGTGGAATGAACGGAGAATGAATCACGTGAATGAAAAAATGAAAATTACTTTTTAATTTTTGAAACCGAGTAAAAAAAGTTCAAGTCAATATTGAGGAAATGGAAACGCTTTGGCTCAGCATTTCGGGCAGAATCCCATAAATGACCGAAAAAAAGAGAAGGTAAACTTGCCAGAAGGCAAGGAACTGTGACAGGAAGGAGAGGAAACAAATCCACACGCCTCCATTGCAACAGCCAAGAACTTACTCAAACTATGCAAGTGCGTTTAAAAATGAGAAATCCTGCACTAAAGGATATAATGACAGGGAGTAGACTTGGAGACTTCAAATGCTCCGCAGAAGTTGTGGCTCGCTAGGAATATTAAGAGCACGTAGGTAGGAAAGTGAAAAGCGATTTTGTTAAGCGTAGGAAGAAATCAAAGGTAGAAAAAGCATAAAAAAAAAAAAAAATCAGCGGTCCGAACGTGGTGGTTTTGCCTCGCGCCAGGTTCTGCGTGAGGGCAGGCGCAGTGAAGCCTTGCTTTGACGTCTCCTTCGAAACATTCGACCGTGACGCTCTCTTGTTTTCTTGCCAAAGCAAAACGCTGTCCTCAGACCTCTTGTTCCCTCTTGGAGTCCTTGAGCGCTATTTAGCTAACGGTCATCTTTTATTTCTGTGCTGGATATTGAATTCGGATTAAATCCTTGTTCCTCCGGTGCCTGTTTACAAATGGCTAAAACCCCAGTCCTGTTCATGCCGGCGAGTTCCTGCAAGGGGCAGAAGCCGAACCCTTGTGCGATTCGATCCCGTGACAATAAAATGCCGCTGACAGGGCAACCGCTGTAGTGGGTTAACGTCACCGACGCTGTGCTCTGGGTAACGTGGGCTTGTCTCCCTCCAGATTATTTAGAGGGCACGGCCTCTGCTTTGCTGTCTGCCCTGGTTACGTGCGCGACGGCAAAGGTCAAATCTTAAATCTAGTGCCTTGCTTTTTACCATGCTGGGACAAATAATTTGTCACTGAAGTCAGTTCCTAAATGACTGAGACTAGGAGACCAGTCAGCCCAGTACAGTTTAGCTCCCGATAGAGGAATAAAACACAGAGCCGGTTTTGACACTTGCCGAGATCACTTTAGTACCCTGAAGCATGAAATTTGATTACCCTTCTCTTAAAAGGCGCGACAGCAGATGTCATTAGTGGTCATAAAATTATTCGGCCTTTAAAAATACCACACCACAGTATCTGACCTGATGATATCTCCCAGATCAGAAAGAAGAGGAAAACACCCCAAGATTTCACAGTAAACGATTTGGTTTTTATCATTCAGTCCCCTCAAGTGAAGGGATGTTCATAGACTGTAATTGCAGCGCAAGAATCATAGTGCTTGCATTTCTGCCGCGCACTGAAATTGAGACTCAACACGTAGGAGGGAAAGGTTAGTATCATTCTAAAGAAGGAGATGAGCAGAAAGCTCTTAACTCATGCCCTCGCAGCTGGACAGTGATGAAACCAAGAAAATGAGTCAAAACTCCCCATTCACAGAAAGCACAACAAAGCAGAGTAATTTAAAGATAACACGACTGTCATTCCGGTAAATTCAGAGATTAAAAAAATCATGAATAGGGCCAATAAAAGCATTATGCTGGTGCTCGGAAACATAAACTTTTCCTTCTTACTCTTTGAGTAAACACCTCTACCTTGTTTTAAAATGTATTCTCTCTCGTTCTACAACCTGGGATTTTTTTTTATTTTTTTTTTTTCTTCCCTAAATAACATGATTCCAGCTGTTGCAGATTTCCCACTGAAAATTGCAAGGCTTCGGATAATACCAACAACATATCAGTGGTGTGGATGAGAAGGAATCCAGCTTTCCCGATTCGTTCCTGCTCCCTGATGCTGCCTCTCAGGAAAAACGGTATCTTTTTCTACCCTTTTCTTTCCTTTGACTCGAGTTTTAGAAACCTGGAAGGAAAACTCCAGAAGGAGTAGCCCTTCCATTTCCTTCTGGTATCATTTCCCTACATCTCCAGTAATATAAATAATCTTGTAAGTGATATAAAACATTTCCAAAAAACATACGTTGAAAGCATGAAGCGCTTGAGATCCTCTGCCCAAACAAACTCCTTCCTTCCCTCACTCTCCACATTTTGGTGAGCACTCAGGCAGCCTCGTCATTTGGATAATTAGAGGGTGCCAGATGGCTGTAAATATGTTCACAATCCTTCTTATCCAGTTCCCTTCTAGCTGGCACCCTCATTGCTCTACCCTGTAGCAAGCACCTGGTCTGTTCCGATTTTTGAAGAGTCTCCCTTCTACTCTCTTGATCTAAGCCGGCGCCTCTAGTTTTAATTTCCCCTTTAAACGAAAGAGGAAAATTCTTTGGGACTCTTCTGTGCCAGGTGATACTTCCTCACAATCCCTTTCACCATCGGTTCATTAATAACATGCCCCCCTCCTGTCCCGTAGCCATTCCCGTGCCTTAAGCATCACCTTCCTTTAGGCGGGACTTAGTGTCACTGAGCATATGAAGATACCGATCGCCCGCGGTGAATCACAAGGGCGTAGCAGCTTCTCTCTATTTTGAGAGCAGAGATCTCATGCCTGCCCTTTGCGGAGGGGTAAGTGGCACACAGGAGGAGGTGATTCATCCCACGTCATGCCCCGAGGAACTGGCACAGTCAGCATTCGAACAACAGTGCTGGCTTGAGCGCACGGGTCCCTCTCACCCCCGCCTCCGCTCCTCGTGGTCGCTGAACTTCACCTTCACGAGGGAAGGGACCTCTGACCCCGTTGCTTCACAGCTCAGGACCGTCCGTTTGTTCTTCCACACAGCCCAGCCTGGATCCTGACACCTTACAGCCCCGTGCTGGTGCTCTTCCCTTCGGTAGGCAGCGAAGGCCAGAGGATATTGGGGTCCCTTACGCAGGGACAAAAGGCACCTGAAAGACCCACGTTATCCCCGCGTGACCACCAGGGCCCCAACGCGCCATCCTGACAGGTCAGCTGGACCTTCTATCACGTTCTGCCGCTGTCACCCCAGGACGTTTCGATGCAACAGTCCAGCCCAGGCAGAACCGACTTTGACGGGGCCCCAGGAGCCCAGCGGCCACCGGACCAGGCGCGAGCCCACCCGTGCGTGTCACAGCAGCCACCCCGACCCCAGCCAGAGCGGGTGCGCTGGGGAGGTCGGAGCTGAGCTGGAAACCTTCAGGGTGGGCTGTTGAGGAAGCAGAACCACTAGGGGGGGGGGGCTGCGGCCTCCCCCACTTGCACGAGGTCCACTCAGACATTTCCTGAGCTGGCCTCGGCGCCGCACGCTTGTTGCGTGAGCACGGACCCGCTCGTTGAACAGAAGCTTTAGGATGCAGATGTTCGTGGAGGTTCAGCTGAAACGACAAGAATTTCTGTGTGACGAGAGTTTCATACGACGAAATATAATCTTTTTTTTTTTTTTTTCCTCCGAACTCGTGAATACCGCTCTTAAAAACAAACATTGTGATTTCAGCTTTTCTTTGTGATGGAAACATTTCTAAATTGCTAAGCAGTGGGGAAGGACGGAAAACTGTATAGAAGGCACCGTGAAAGGGGAAGTTGTTTTTTAAAGCAGCTTTAAAATACAGACAGTGACATTTCTAAAACTAAAGAATAAACAAGGTCAAAAGCTGTCTTGAGAGTCTGAGGGAAGCTACAACAGCAAAAAATGTTGGGGTCACTAGAAGGGTGACCGGATTGTCAGAGGAGAACCATTGAGAGACGATGCGTGTATTTATTTCGGTTTTGAACTGCATCCGCTTGAGCTATCACCCACATTTTGTGTAACGAGGCATTAGCAACCCTGTTCCGTGCAGCAGATGCTCCGCTTTGCTGGAGTGGGGGAGACTCTGGCCCTTGCTCTCCCATCTGTTTGGTTCCACCTCGAGTGTGCTGGGGTTTGTTTGCTTGTTTTACAGAGTTTGAGTCCCGTCCTCTCTGCGGGAGCTGGGGACGTTTATGAACGGGCACGCGTGGCGCTCGCTCTGCCCCACCTTTGCTAATGATTCCCCGGCTCCACGACTCACTTTTTTTTTTTTTTTTTTAATGCATAAGCAAGTCAACGTTTAGTCACATAATTCTTACGAAAATCCTAGATAAATACAACGTCTTTATGTTGAAATCCTCCTAGGAATTCCACTGCTTTATCTACATTTTCCCATCCTTTGCCACTTTTTTTCAGTATTAGTGCACTCTGCTGGTAAGAGTAGTGCTCAGGTGACCTGCTGTGGTGGATTCTTTGGTTCGGTGAAGCAGACTCTAGTTGGCAAACGCAGAATTACCTACACACCCCAGAAGAGAATACTGTCTTTGGTTAAAAAGATGGATTATAAGAAAATAAGAATTTCGTCTGAAGAGTGCGAAGGGTCAGATACAGTCTAACGGAGGCCGCCGAGCCAAGATGGACGGGTCAGTAGATGCAGGTAGGAGTCACTCTAGACATCTGCCCAGGGAGAAATAAGCAGTCAGGAGTCACGGGAAAGGAGAGAGCAGACCAGAAGCTGTTTGTGATCAATCTGGGAGCCCTCAGCAGTCAGCGTGGGGCACGCGGAAGCATCGTGTCGTGGTGCGAGCTGCTGAGTCCCCTTTGCCTCTTTTTCCTGTTCCAGCTGATCGTGTCGTTCTTTTTTGTTCCTTTCCTGGGAAGCAAAGGATTGGTGTTGCTGGCATCCAGTTGATGGGGTTCCCTGAATCCCAGTCCCACAACAGTTTGGTGAAGGGGGCCAGCACCTGCCCTTCACGGGTGGGATGTGCTGGGCGCACGGACGAGCTGCCCAGTTTCATCCCAGACGTGGCTGCAAGCCCTGCAGTGATCAATCCCTGGTGACAGATCTCTGCTCAAGATTAAATTTCTGGAGAAATTAACTTTGCTATTACATAATAGATGAGGAGGCTGCTGCTCCAAAGCATTCTTTTACTGCTAGCATACAGTCAGATTTATCTGTGATTTTCCCTCTTGTTGACTAGCTGGTCCGTTAACTCTTCACTGAAAGTAGGGAGGAAGCAGATGGCAGAAGGCAAATTTGCTTGTCTTCCTTCAACAAGAAGACAGATAAACTGATTTTCCTAATGATATATCTGACACACAGAGGCCAGATGTTATTTTTATAAGCCACACTTCTTGTTTATAGATTATTTTTTTTTTCCGTTTTTCTTCCATGCCAGCAGACATGTCAGCGGCCCTGTGACCTGTAAAGGATCAGAAAGCAAGCAGCCATGAGTAGGCACTCAAACCGTGCTTTTCCAAGAACCTGCACAACGTCGAATGCCGTCTCATGATTTCTGGGAAGCATGACTCCCAGATTGGACTGCTGAAAAGGTAGACAGCGCTGAGATTAAATATAGCAGCAAGTGGGTTGGAAGGAAGAACACTTGGTTCACAGGAAGTGGGAGGCTGTTCTGAAGAAATCGAGTGACTTGCTTATGTTGCCGCATAAGCAGTAATAAAACCAGGCTTGCCTCCCTGTTGCTGGTTTAACCTTTTAGGCAGTGCTACTTCTTCTATACGTTCAGGCTCTCACCACGCAGCATCGTCAGGATTTTCCTCCCTCGTTTGGGCGCTACAACAAGAGGCACTACGGTACTGGTGAGAGCGTGGCAGAGGTGAAGGAAGGCACTGCCCTGCCGGGGTGAGGTTTGGTGTGCTCCGTTTGATTCCTGCCTCTCTGCTCTGCCTTCGTCCCTCCTCACGTACAAATCTCCGTCCCAAGCTAGCTCGCCAAGCGTGCGGGAGCCCAACCTGAGGCACACGGTGCCCAGAGGGCGGGGGCAGCTGCAGGGCTACTCTTAGCATGGAGTAACGTCTGGCCAGGAGTATCCTGTTTTGAACTGGGGATCCCACAGTCCACACTAAAAAGATAGGAGGTTGTGGAACTCATTGTGTGCGAAATTATTCCTGTGGATCAGCAGCTTGATGAGGGAAGGAAGATATTCTTGGTTATAAAACTGCCCTTCCTTTTTATCGTTAGCCGCAGGACTTCAGCTGGTGGTGGAAAGCTTTTGGATTAAAATCGTGATTTCCTCAGCCCGTTTATGAATACTGAGAACACGGAGGGATCTAGCAGAGCCATCTGCTCATGAATTGGAACTCCTGGTTGCGAGAAGGTGAAGCACCACCTTTCCCTGAAGCACCCCTCAGCTGAGAGCTTGTCTAGCTGTCTCTGCTGCTTCTCTCCCCATCCCACTGGATCGAAGACATCTGACGGCCAAGGGGAGGATCTTCAGGGCGATGCCATCTGCTCACATGGCTGTCAGGAACAGGAGGACCGTTACGCAAATCCCCAAGCGCTCGCTCGTGTCTGCCTCCCCACCCAGCTCAGCCGTGTTGCTCCCGGGGCCCCCCGGGCCACCGCGTCTCGCTCGGCTCCCCTCGAGCTGCCTCATGAGGAGCCTCGAGGGAGGTCCCCACCCTCTGCCTTGTACTCACAGCACCCTCCGTCGCCATCGCGGGCAGGCACAGAGCACAGGGTGAGCAGACACTGGAAGAAAAACGTCGAGGGTGCGACTCTTCAGGCTCTCCGTGGATGGAAGGAATCATTCTGCTACCATTCTGGCTTTCTGCATCCTTCAGAATAGTGTTTCCCTTCTAGGGCATTTGCGTTTTTCCTCTTTAGATACTTATGCTATGCATTGGCCATGACTGAGTCCATCTGTCGAGAGTTAGTCCTTTAAATAATTACGTCCACATTTCTGCTGGGTAGTTCCAATTAATGACGGTCCTTTGCATACTCTTCGGTTCTTACAGCTCTGAATAATACCCTCTGTCTGCCTGCCGTGCCTGGATGAACTCTTTATTCCAACCACAGAGCTATGAAATGTCTCCTTTCTGTCAGCCCCAAGGGAAGGGCTTTGGAAGAAGCAATAATCATTGATATGCATAACTCCCAAGCCACCCGTGTCACGAGGGTTTGATCTCCAGCACTTTGAACTCTGGCCTGTCTGACCTCTCTCAAACATGCAGAAAAGTTATAAAGATTTTATTTTATTTTATTTTATTTTATTTTATTTTATTTTATTTTATTTTATTTTATTTTATTTTATTTTATTTTATTTTATTTTATTTTATTTTATTTTATTTTATTTTATTTTTTTTAATAAAGACTGTCGTCCCTCTGAGCAGTTGTTGCAAACCAGAGCAGAAGGGTTGTTTAAAACGCTCAAAATAACGAAGTGGACAGCTCACTATTAGTTTTCAGTCCCTCGGCGACATTTTATAAAGTAAAAAAAAATAGTTAGGGCAGAGGATTTGCCATTCTTGTGCCACGCCGACAGAAAGTGTAACTCGGAGCCTCGATTTTCAGCCTTTTCTATGCCGGGTGTCACGTTAAACAGCACAAGTGTCAAACCACACACACACCCTGCCCCGACCTCGCACGAAGGGAAGGAACGGTGGTGCTAGTGTGGAGGGGATGCTCTGAGACTCGTTAGTGACTCCCATGGACAGCTCGTCCCGTGAAGGGTCTGTGCCTCGGAAACCAGCCCGTCGTGCGTCAACTGATCAACCCCACCGCCTCCTTTTAGAGGTGGATGAGGGATTATTGTCTTCGTACGGACGGGGGAAACTGGGACACGGAGATCAGGTTTCTGAGGCGAAGTTGCCAAGGAATGACTAACCGAGGAGCTGCCGGCTCGGAGCTCTCTTCCTGGAGCTTGCTTTCACCCCGGCGGACCGGAAGCATTTTTGAAATGCCGCCTGCTTTGTGCTGAATGCTTGGCTGCACAATTCACACCACGCTTTCCAGTTCCTGAAAACAAACACTTGATGGCAGGAGCCAGGCTTCCAGGCTTGTCAATACATCGCTGATTACGGTTTCCACTGGCCCTTTCGGTGTCTGCTATTCCTGGATCGCTTGGGGGAGATACATATATATAGAAGTGCACATAGAAAAGGTATGTGTACATATATGTGTATCTATATCTGCTTTTTCATCAGTTTGCTTTCCACAATATCATCTTTCATCCCAGCTGCCATTTCCTGGCAGTCAGAGGAGAACCGCTTTGGCTCGTGCTCCAAAACACATTTGGAAAGGAGGTGCAGAAAACTCAGGATTCTCCCCTCCAGGGAATAAAGGAAGAGAAGGAAACCGAGAAAGGGAAGAAGGGGCAGCGGGGGAGTCTGGACAGGAGCTTCCCGGAGCTTGGAGATGATAGTGGAGGGAGGGACTCGGTGCTCAGTGGTGTTGGCCTCTTTGCCTTTGCCTGGGGGGTCCCCTCCGCCCGCCCGGCACCTTCTGTGACACAGGAGGGAAGTTCAGAACCAACAAAACCTTCACCAGGCCCCAGGCAGCCGGTGGGGACGGGAAGGGGGACAGGGATGGGGACGTGGGCTGGAAGTCTCTGCTGGCTGAGGAGAGAGGAAAGATGAACATCTGCTCAGGAGGGTTTGGGACGAAATCCGGTTACGTGCTTGCTTACCCCTGGTTCGGCAGACAGCGGCCGCGAAGCAGACTGAACGCGGGGAATTCCATCTCACACGGTGGGAGCGCCGCTCGCAGCTTACACCGAGCACGGCCGACCCCAGGGACGGTTACTGGGGGGCGTGGAGACATCCTCGAGGTGCCAGGGGGGTGGCAAGGAGCACCTCTGGCCTGCTGACATTCAGTACAGGCAAAGGCAGGACCATCCCAGCTGGGAACACCCCCCTCCCCGTGATGTGCTGCCGCAGGACTGGTTGCCCAGAGATGAAGGGAACTGTGAGTCAAAACCGACAGCAAAAGATTGCGCATGGAAAGACACAAATTAACGGGGATGAGTCTGTAAAAAGACCGCATTAAGTTGCCAGAGAGCCATAATTCCTCCTTCAAGAGAGTCCATCTGGCACAGACTCAGCTCAAAGACGGCGATTAGAACAAAAAAGCGATATGTAACAAATAGAAATGAGGAGATGGAGGGATTGAGAGCAATTAATATGAATTAGTTTTATGAAGTGCATGAAATACAGAAGGAAAAAAAGGCAATTTAAGGCAAAATTTCCTGGCTGTCAGTTTTAAGGACAAAACAGGGTATCTTTT